GCTCCACCTAATATCTATTTGTCCCTACTTCCCCATGCATTATCCAACTCAAAATTACACATATACAACACCAACTTACAAATTTATTTATTTTTTAAAAATTATCCACTTATAAGTTTGTAGCGCCCGAACTATTGCAAACTCATTTTTGAAAATATCGCAGAAATAGATTAGGTTATTGTATTGAGTATTAATTAGGCAAAATTTAATCTGAATAAAATTGTCCTCAGAATATTGTTGATTACACGGTGTTAATGATTGTTGATTATAAGTCTAAGAGGCAAATTGCATCGTAGCAGAGCAAGGAAGGACTGGTCAGGAATGAGTTTTAGTCCATCTCTGCTTCTATTCTTATACGGGTTTATATAAGTATCCTCATATATATCGACCGTTCAATATGTATGATCCTTTCATGGTTTAAACGGAACGAATATCTTTTTTTTTTCTCTGGTCCGCTGCCATCCTAATTATTTGTAAAGTGGGATAAATATTTGTGGCCTTTTTTGACCCATTGTAAATAGTGCCTACATGCCCACTTATGTAGGCTTGATCAAACCCATGGGATTCTAAAGCTAGGGAATTTGGATATGCAAATAAAAAACAATTAGTATTCTCCTATTAATTTAGAAATGGATTGAACAAGAGACATTTTAGTTATTAATTACATAAAATCAAAGGATTTTTGTTGTGTTTGATTTAATACAAAATCATGGGTCCCATTTGTAGCTTCGATGTCCTAACCAATCATATGGTTTGAGATGATTGAAAGATTTGAGATATATATTATTTACTGATTTATAAGGACTATTTGAACGAGTTTTAAGATAAGGATTAGATTGAATTTATGAAACTGTTCCAAATTCAACCCTTAGGTTTCATTCATGAGATTGAACAGTGTATCATATTCAATTCTATGTTTGGTAAATAACACAAGTATACATGATACCTACGGATTAATTATGATATTTGCTAAGAAACCTAAATCCACCCAAACACACCCACTCCATGGGTTTATTAAAACCCTTATACATTGGTTTTAAGTTCCGGCCTATCACGGGGCGGGATTTGAATCTCGAACTTGAAATATACAACTAAATAAGAAAAAAGGTGATGCATTGGATTATTTTAACAAAACTCTCTTTGAATCCCACCTAAACCCATCAACCAAACATGCCCATAACGCTTTGATTTCTTTTCATAATTTTTTGATTAAATTGTGGATTCTTATTTCACGAAAAAATATAAAATCAAATTTTAACATTACTGAATGCAAACAATCTTGGTGTCACCAGGATAGATATTGACATGTAAAAATATAGGCCCAATAGTATACATACGCCATAGGCCATATGGGCCGTTGGGCTACACAGAAAGGTTTATCATTGACCAGGCCCAAAAACCCATCCTTTTCCTTTCTGTCAATGCTTCAACATCTGGCCCCAGTTTCAAGCTTTCTACGAAGGTAAGTATCTACAATGACCAAAATATATGAGTATATACACAATTTATATGCACGCATGCATGCATGTCTTCTTTTTTTTTTTTTTGAATTTTTTAGTTGATGAGCCTGAGCAATAATCGCTGATGAGAACTGATCGCCTGATGAGCCTGAGCACTGATGGCAAAAGATTTAGAGTGTGGCCACAAGCCCATTAAAGGGAAAGAGGGACATGACAACTCCAGTAGCATAAACGTCAAGGAAAAAGAAACAAAAGAAAGATTGGCCACGAAGCCTTAATGTCGCTGAAGCTACTCAGATTCGAATATCCCAATCACTTCAACCGTTCTGTGCATCCAAAGATGAAGGTAACATTAGGAATTAGGAATTTTGGGTATTTTATAGAAATGGCAGTAGAACCAGCCGGTTTGACAAAAGAGTCCGGTTCACGATTTTTGTCAAAAATCGGCCAGACGATTTTACTCTGGTTTAATTATCTAGGCGGTCCAATTCAAAAACCGGATCGGATAAGGTCTGGGTTCACGATCCAACAGTTCGAATCGATCGGTCCGATCCAATTCTGATAACACTGATTAATAGTCTCAATATGTTAAAATAGAAATTGATTAACACAGGTACGTTTAAGTTATATCCTCAATCCTCTTTTTTATTAGAGGATGGGGTTAAGGAGAGGGTAATGGACCTTTTATAGCACCCTACTCCTTTTCTAAAGCCCCTAACCTACAAAATTTAAGAAAATATCAAATATAATTCTCGAGACATGAATCCTTGAATCCTAAAATGGGTGACACAACAAAACTCGACTTCATTACTTTTCTGCACCCAATTTACCCTTTTGTATACCATCGCAAAGCTGTCGATTTTTCTAGAATTTATAAACATTAGTGCTGTACGAAGACTTTTTTCCACAAACCCAAGCTTTTATGTTTGTGTTACTTTACTGTATTAATCTTTTAACACATAATCACAAAAAGTAGAGTTTGGCTTCTTGCCCATTTGTTAATGGGATCCATCAAGTAATTGCATTTGGGTTGTTGTAAAGAGTACTTTATCTTGACCATGCTTCACAGTGTTCATAGGAGAATTAAAAAAAATCACACCTAGTTGTCTTACACACAATATTTAATTTCCATGTAGCACTAAGAGGTCGCAACATATAAACATGTTGTTACGGGAAACTCGAATGATTGAAACGATTTTCAGTGGGTTTGGAGAAAGAAACTGTGACATTTTTCTTTTGTTTGTACGCGCATAAACTATTGCAAGTGTCATTGTTAGATTTTTTTTTTTAAAGACTTGCCCTTGTCAATCATCATTTGTGTTTTGACTGATTAAAACTTGTTTGAGCAGTGTTGTCATCAAGCACCCATCTAAAATTACTGGACAAAGAATGGAGGTCCACCTCTGATCCCCATTACAAGAGGGAATCTAGCATAATTCCATGAATCATTGGACAATATATTCTAAGACATTAAAGGAGAAATATAATGATAGGCATAAAAGTCTAAGTAACTAGTACTTTAGCCACTCTAAATATACAAACAAGGCTTTGTAAAGTACTTAAATTACGTCCCTCTACAACTTAAATTTTTAAAGTAAATGATTATTTAACATAATATCAGCGTAGGAGATTTCGTGTTTAAATTTAGTCGCCACTCTAACAACTTATGTTTTTGAAGAAGATAGTTGTTTAACAGGACCACATAGAACTACTAATAATTACTCGACATTAAGGTGACTAAAATTTTAAATTTGGCCATCATTCTGCAGAAAAATGAGACAAGGGAGGACCTAAAAGATTAAATTTATTTTAAACTGAAGGATAGTTAATTGCATGAATGCAAAGGTACTCATCTTTTCATTAGAAAGCGATGATGATTGAACAGAGCAAGTGCCTTCTGTTTTTGATAGGGATATTATGCATTCAGACAATACCAAAAAGTTACATTTCGATTCTGTACATCTACTTTTAATTCAATAAAAATGTGTCCCATGTAAAAATTTTATATTTTATTCTTTCTTGTTATTTTATCACATTTTCGATCAATGGTTTAATCAAATTTCGACACAGTATCTCCGTAACCTTATCTGGGATATTATATATGTTTACGCGCCTTCTTTGATGCCAGGGCGTAGTGCAAATCGATTCATCCAGATGGTATTACTTATCTCTAATTAATTATTAGTTCTTCTTATCTTATCTTGTAATTCTAATGTGAGAAGACACTATGGAACTGCCCCAACAACCATTCAATGGGAAAATGCTGAAAGTTGGGCCTGTGTACTGATGGCAAAACGGGGTAAATGGAATTTCTACGGCTGGCAACAAATCATGTAAAAGTCGGGTTCATATCATGTCAAAACCGTGTCTTAATAAAATTTACTCACTCCTTCCCGCGACCCCAATATACAACCCATGTACAGTCTCGTGGTTATGTTCGTTTTTGACACATCCAATTCTGAATTGAATATGTTAACTCTAAATTCATTCACGATAATTTACATTTGAATTTTGTGTAGTGCACATGAATCGTGTCAAGAATTACTAGCTCCATGTGCTTACTACATGTAATTCGGTTACATTTTTATTGCCTACTACTAGAATATATGCTTAATTGCTTACTGATGTCCCAATGTGATCTCGCTTTGCTAGCCTATTCCCTGATATATTCTCAGTCCTCCTCCTTTTTTTTTATGATCTCTAATATGGTACATATCGAAATCAAGGTATCTTCTGTGGTGAGGTTCTGGTATGAGTCACACTGTCGTAGTTCCTCCTAAATCGATGCGTATAGGTATGCACTCAGAAGTTATCAACTCCCCCTACACTTCAAGGAATCAAGCTAATGGCCCATTTGAGTTGGTGCTTTACGCCAACTTCTCTCTCTCTCACAGAGACACACACATGTTCTTGTGTGTCTGTTTGTGAAATTTAACATTTAGGTGTACTGAACCTTAGAGGCATCATAAAATAGACAGCATCCACTAAAACTTTAATAGATGAATGCTTTATAAATGGGGAACCAGTGGAAGGCAAGGAGCCCATAATAAAAAAGAATGAATATAAGGTCGATTTGTGTGGGGACGAATTAGTTTGGGGTTAGTATCGTGAAATGTATATTCGAGGATAAGAATTGAATACTTACTTTTTCCCCGGGTATTCTCGTTTAACTGCTTGCATTAGGCTGTGGAAAGCAGTCACCTTGGTAGTGTATTATAGCAATTACCTTTCACACAGATCTTAGAAGCTTGAACAGCCTCATCAAATTGTAGAACTCATTACCAACTTGATTTAAAGTTCAAGATTCTTAGCACTGTTGAACTTTGTTTATGCTTAATTAGGATCCAATAGCTTGAGAGACTTATTGGTCCTTGCTATCAATTGCAACCTAAGGGCACTGAAATGTTACTCAACCACCCCCACCCCGCGGGAGGGGTTGTTATGAAAGATCAATCATGACAAAAAAATTGCAGAGTAGATTTCTGATTTCACGGATGATTTCCTGTGGAGGTGAAAGGATAATTACAAAAAACTCATGGGAAAAAATGTCATTAGAGAAAAGTTAGAAATTTTCCGAACCAACTTTATTAATTTCGCATCTACATCTCTTACCAAGATTTGCCCTTGCATTCTCAGCATGCACTATAAATCCTCACCAAAGTCTCTTTCTCTCTCTCACATAATTTGCCGTTACAAAAGCCACCCTTTTGGTGTCTCTCCTCCTAGAAACTAACACCTTCACGAAACCCATGCACTCAATACATTCTCACTCTTGTCCATAGTGCTCAAACTTCTCCTCCTTCTATGAGAAAAAACTATATTAGACACAAGGACACCTTTCTGTTCTACTTCTGTACACCATTATGTCTACACCATCAAGAGTAGAAGAGAAGCCAGCAGAGAAAATTCATCCTATGCTATGCTCACCCCCACTTGTTACACAAAATGGGCCTATCAGCTTCATGAATTTAATCCTCTCAGAGCTAACAACACAAAGAAGATTAGGGGTTCCACTGCTGGTGATGAATTTAACATGGTTCACCAAGATAGCCATCACTACTGCGTTTCTTGGCCGGCTAGGAGAGCTTCCATTGGCCGGTGGTACGCTTGGCTTCACCTTTGCAAATGTCACCGGCTTCTCGGTCTTGAATGGTCTCTGTGGTGCCATGGAACCAATATGTGGTCAGGCTTATGGAGCTAAAAATTTCAAGCTCCTCCATAAGACCCTTGTCATGGCAACTTCTTTGTTGTTGCTAGCCACACTGCCTATTTCTTTCTTGTGGATTAACGTAGACAAGATCCTTGTTCAGTTTGGCCAACAAGAGGACATTTCAATTGTTGCCAAGAAGTATCTCTTCTATCTCCTCCCTGATCTGGTAGTCACTTCATTGTTGTGTCCTCTAAAGGCCTACTTGAGTATACAAAGCCTAACGGTTCCTATTATGTTGAGCTCGACTCTGGCCATGGCGATTCACGTGCCCATCAACATCTTACTTTCAAAAGCCAAAGGTCTGGAGGGAGTCTCCATGGCGGTCTGGATAACTGATCTCATAGTTGTGATTCTACTTGCAGTTTATGTGCTGGTGGAGGAAAATAAGAAGGGGGGGAAATGGAGTGAAGGAGGGTGGATGCAACAAGGAGTTCGTGACTGGATCAGGTTGCTCAAACTTTCTGGTCCATCTTGCCTCACCACTTGCCTTGAGTGGTGGTGCTACGAGATCTTAGTCCTGCTAACAGGGCGGCTAGCAAACGCCAAGCAAGCAGTGGGAGTGTTAGCAATTGTGCTAAACTTTGACTACTTGCTTTACTCTGCCATGCTCTCGCTTGCCACATGTGCATCCATTCGTGTCTCAAATGAACTTGGTGCGAACCAACCCCACCTCGCCTACCAGTCGGCATACGTGTCCTTGGCAGTGAGTATAGTCTCAGGCTGCATCGGTGCCTTGGTGATGATAGCAGCAAGAGGTCTGTGGGGCCCATTGTTCAGCCATGACAAGGGGATTATAAGAGGGGTGAAGAAGACAATGTTGCTAATGGCTCTAGTTGAAGTTGTAAATTTCCCATTAGCTGTTTGTGGGGGGATAGTGCGTGGAACAGCTAGACCATGGTTGGGCCTGTATGCAAACGTTAGTGGTTTCTACTTTCTGGCCTTGCCCTTGGCTGTTGTTTTAGCTTTCAAGGTCCATCTAGGGCTTGTGGGACTGTTGACAGGGTTCTTGGTTGGTATGGTAGCTTGCTTGGTTTTGCTGTTGGTGTTTATTTCGAGGATCGACTGGGAGGAAGAAGCTGGCAAGGCACAAATACTTGCCTGTTGCGTTGAGGAGGTTCCTGACAGAGATGAATGTAACAAGAATTCTGCAACAGTCGAGAATATTGCATTGTGACAATATATTATGAAAACATTCTGAGGATAAGAAGAATTACCAAAAGGGCATAACCTCCTTAGTCAACCTGTGATTATTCTCACAGCAAAAAAAAAACCTGTGATTATTCTGTCACAAGCATCTCTCTCACTGGAGTAGATGCTCAATCCTGGGAAAATAATGTGCATAAAACCTGAACTACATAGTAACCCAGTATTGACCTATTGTGGGCTTATGTTACCCTGGCAATCGCTATGAGGGATTTTTTTTCCCTTTTCAACTAATGCAACTTTTTTCCAGCTGTTGTGATCATCAGTTTTTTTAAGTAAGCTTGTAGATGATGCCAGATGAATCAGATACGGTCTAAACAGATGACAAAGCAACCTTGGAAGGCCAAGAACAATAAAATTTTTGACGAAAAGTCTGGTTAGTAAGGTCAAGTTCCACATAGATAGATGCCAGCAGGTTGGGAGGCTAAAGCATTTCCTCCTCCAAAAATGTTAGCGGTAAAATATGTACCTCTTAAGTCATACCCGTCCGAACTCATGATGAGCTTTGAAGTCTGCCATCCACTCCTCAGTAGCTCCACCTTTAAGACTAGTCCAAAGGCTCACAGCACTAGTTGTGTCTGACATTCAATTACACATTGTATGAATGTAGAGAATCTTGTGCAAACAAATTCAACTGGAAAGCAAATATTACCTTTAGCCTGTCTTAAAAAAGAAATTAAGGATGCATATAATTGACCCAACTTACATTTTCTCAACTTCTTAACATTTCTTTGAAAAGCCTGGAATAACACTGTCAATCAAATTGTGGGTAGAAAGAAATACAGTGATGGCCACAGAAAACATCAAAGAAGGTACTAATCCTCAACAAAATCAGGTTTAGAAACTAAAGAGTTAAGCTCTTTGGCATTCTCATTATTGAATCCAAGGGCAGACATTATTTTGTGACCGGGCCCTTCATCTTCAGACCACACCCCAAGAAGCAGATGAGTTGTAGTGATTTCCCCATTTTCACCTGCATTTCACATATACATTAAATTGAGTGAAGAATTTCATTGTCTGCATACACAGTCAACAAAGATGACCTAGACAATAGTAGAAGATGTTCAAGGAAATGCATGTATCTCCATTCAGAAATGTGGCAACAGCAGGAAAATAATCCTCTACAGGCAGACCACTCGATGTCTAGAGTTTCCATCCTTTTTTTTTTTTTGGAATCAGGCTATGGATTTCATCCAACAAAAATGCATTAATGTTCATTTTTAGTGATTTAAAAGGCATCATCCAACTTTTCCATCTCAGAGAATGTCAAACTTAGTTAATAAACAAATCCCAACAAAGAAATGAAACAACTAAAATGCCACTGTAGATCCTACCAACATCAGATGGATTTACATTTTACAAAGCAACCCAAAGCCACCATCATTGTTAACTGCAACATATGGTAGCAACAAAAAAAAAAGAACATTTACTGATTTCAAGAAAAATCTATAATTGATGGGTCCTTTAGAAACCTTGTAAGGATTCTTCATATTTAATCCTAGCAATTTTAAGCTTGTAATCCACATGCCAATATTCTTTTTTTAATTTTTTAGGTGACAATCACCCAAATTTATTAAAATAGACACGAAATTTAGAAACGAGATACCATGGAGACAGGACATCCTACCAAGGATCAATACAAGAAAAAAGAAATGAGTACATCAAGAAGGAGGAAACAAAATAAATCAAAACCAAACCCAAACAAAGGCAGCACCATGCAACATAAAATGACCTCCAATCCATAATAGAACATGCCAATATTCTTGATCTAACAATTTTTAGATAAATAGATAGGCACACACAAGTGCTCCCAGAATTTTGAAGAAAGATGTCAGACAGTGCAAAATTCTATGATTAACTTTAAATCAAAGCAGTATCATATGCAACATTAAACTCTCACTAGCACTTTTTTAGAATCAGTAGACTGATCAACAAAATTATAGTAAAAAAGGGCCTCAAGGCATCCCTCGAGTTACAATACAAGATAAGCGGAAAAAAAACATTCAGAATGTCAAAAGATCTGCAGTCCAAAAGTGACTATTTCGTTAACATCATATAATCTGTTGTCCGAAAGCTGCTATTTCTCTGGCAAACATTATATCAGCCGTTATTACACTACTTTTCACATGAGTCAAACATAGATTTTAAATAAATTATCAAAGTCAGAATACAACCTTCTACAAGACCATCCATGCATGCCATGGAAGGTAATGAAATTTGTTCTTAAAGTTATATAAGAAAGAAGTACTAACAGACTAAAATTATCAGAATAGATGCACAAGTCAAAAAAGAGAACAAGTTGGAGCATGATTGACTAGAAGCTTACGAGATTTGAGCTTTTCATCTAGAGCCCAATCAAGGGCCCTTTGAGCTGCTTCAGTTAGGGGAGGATGCTCAGGACTGAAAAAATACAAGTCAGCTTTTCCAAGCACCTTGACAGTTTCTTCACGCACTTTGAAGAGTGTAATTCCATTTGCCCACAAATATTTTGCTGCAAAATTAGTCCCTGCCAACACAGGAAATTAAGGTAGACAGAGAAATTTTGGTTCACAGCAAAACTACAGCCTAGTAATGCACAATAACTCTTGCAAAATCATAAAATAAAAGTTTCAGTAATCCTAAAAACAAAATATTTCTAACTACACACGTAATTTGTAGCTTAAAGGTCGGACATAGATGCAGGTTGCTGGTTGGCAGAAGAGTTAACATGAATACATTCAGATGTAATGCATCTCAATTTTCACAACTGTGACAAAGATAGATCGCTTTTATTTTTTCCTACTGGTAGACACTAGCTTTCATCTAAGACAATAGCCTTTTCAGACTCTCTCTGCTTTGGCCAACTAAAATCTTATGGACCTTCATCAATCGTCAGAACTTGAATACTTGAATACAACATCATAAATTCTTCTTGTAAATTCTGCTTCAGCTTATGAGACTATGGCTGCTTCGGCCCACCAAAAACTTCCTTTTGACCTCAGATAATTATACACATAGACTTACATACTCATCAAGCGACAGGAGATAACTATACCCTGAATATGGTTCAATCTTAGATTGTTCCATTGTATTTATCTGCACATTCCAATTTCCAAGCTTTACTAAGAATTGGTACCTAAATAAATTAGTTGGCAGTATGAACTAAACACAATGTGCACCAATTGTTGAACACATCCAACCAACAAAAATATGCGTGTAAATATACAAAACAGAGACTAACCCTCAATCAAGACCCCCATAAGAAGGGCTTCTGTCCCCGTAGTTGGGTATTTTAGCTTCCTTGCTTCCAATTCGCCCATTGCAAATGATTTAATTGCCTTTGATGACCATCTAAATTATACTCATCCAATTCAAAATACCTTAATCCCACAAATCCAAAAATGTATAACAATCAAAGTACTATAAAAACACCAAACATTCGAGAAAATCTCAAGAAAACTCACTTTGGAACTTTCTCAGTAGAAGCAACCCTCTCTGGTTTCCTGAAAATTAGAGAAATCAGCCAAAAAAAAAAAAATGAACATCGTCAAATTCATGTACACAAACACACCACACACACATAAATGGGTGATGAAAACGCACGCAGTGGGGAGGCTAAAAGTGACTATGGCGGTGATAGGTCGATGATATTTGGGCATTGAAAGTCTGGGATTGGAGGACTGAAGGGAGAGTTTGGGAGTGCCCAGCCATGTACTCTGAAAAACGTGAGGTCTGAGAAATTGGGTTGGAGAAAGTGATTTGGGTCGTCTGGAATCAGGTTGGGATGCTCGGGTCGGAGTTGGGGCCGTGGAGACAGTGTGAGCGGCCATTTTCCGGGAAAGTAGTTTTGGGTGAGAAAATGCTTTGAAAGTTTTGGATATGAGGTGGAGGAAAGGGAAAAACTGAAAACGACGACGTAGCACGACTTGGAAAATCGGGTTCTGTGAATGGGCCTATGTGCCGTCATACAGAGTTGGATAGACCCAAATAATACATGTCCTCATGGGCTCCGATGGAATTGGATCTTCCGTTAGGTATAAAAGAGAAATCATGACGAGTCAACAAAATAATTTCTTGGGCTGGTTAGGGCTCAGTCCAAATTCACAGGCACTCTACTCCGTCTGTTGAGCTTGGGCTTTCTTTTTACTAGGTAATTATGCCCAATGTAACGTTAACTCTCACTGCTCTTCGAGCACTACCAAGTGACCCTCACTGCTCTTTACGCGGTACCAAGTGGCTCTCACTTCTCTCTCTCTCTATTTTTTAATTAAAAAAAAATATATCTAACCTCCCAACATTAAGATAGTTGCAGGCTGCAGTTTATGACTTTACCAAATAGCAGCTAACCATTAATACTTAAAGCCCTCTGCTCCTGCTGTTTTGTAAGACAGGCAACATGGCGAAATGACAGTCATAAAGAAGAGCCACATCTGGCATTAATCTTGCAGTAATTGTCAACTGTAATATTTAAGGCACGACCTCTGTTTGGAGAGAGAGAGAGAGAGAGCACATTTCAACTGTTTGGGTAAAATGAGAGTAGTAACTCAGTGTAGCATGTTATAGAGCCATGTGATTTGAGTATCAGAGAGAGGCCTATAATAAGGGAGAGACTCTGAACTGCAGGTTTGTCTTCTATGAATGGCATGTGATCCTATCTCTTTGCTCGTTTTGGGTGTGTCCCTGTGGGATTGGGGGTTAGTGTTGAATTGAAGGTGAAACCCCCCAAATATACTTAAAAATATCAATCGAACGATAACCGCACCATTATCAACTTTCAACATGTTGTTTCATACCGTGATAGAATTTAAATCTCTCGTTATGTCTAAAGTTTTTTTCTATTTGACATGTCATGTGCACCATCTACCACTGATCAGTGGCATCAAAATCAACACATATCAATATCTTCTAAGTTGAAAATTGATACCATAATTTTAAGGGAGAAGTACACTTAGACTCCTTAACATTTGTAACTTAATCACTCAGATCTCTTGACATTTGAAATATTACACACACGTGTAACACTTAGGTGGTATTTGATAAAACTGAAGGCTAAATATTGAAAATTGAATGCTGAATTTTTTAATTCGCAGACTGTTTGTTATTAATTGAAATTTAAATATTGATTTTAATCACTCTGTTTGACAAATATAAGGAGTTGAAGTCTGAAAATTATTATTATTCTAATATTGTTCTTTTCTTTAACTATCTCTCTGCAACACTGATGGTGACGGTGATGGTGATAGTAGTGACAAAAGCGACGATACAATAATAGTCGCAATGGTAGTGGCAATGGTAGTGGTGGTGGCGCCACAATAGTGGTGATGGTGGCAGCGATAGTGGTGGTGGTGATAGCGATAGTGGTGGCACAATAATAACAGTGACATAATGGTAGTGGTGGTGACAACGACACAATAGTGGTGATGAAGGTGATGGTGGCGATAGCAATGGTAGGAGTGGCGGTAACAATGGTGGTGGTGACGGTAACACTATGATGATACTGGTGGCCACAACGACACAATGGTAAAGGCGATGGTGGAGATTGTGATGGCTCGTATAATAATTTGTTATTAACACGCTAATTAGGTTGTCAATTATAACTGTATATAATTAAGACTTATTTTTAAATTTCAAATAAATAAATGAACCTCAAATTTTGATTCATTACGTAAAAACAAATTAAATGACTATAATATAGGTCATATTTCGTATTGAAATAAAAATATTATAATATTTAAATGGTATAATAGACAAATAATATATATATAATTTGTAATACATATAAATATATATATTAAAAGGTACAAGTGCCACCCTGTGGCTGTGATTTCTAATTAAGTGACAAGTGTTTTTAAATTAAAAAAAAAAGGTAATCATGAGAGAATGGACATTTGTCCAATGACTTCATTTGTCTTGCATCATCACATGCTCTTAGCCTTGCGTAAATAACTTGGAGGCCAAACATTTGCACCTTATAAATAAAGGATTGCCAATAAGCAAAATGCAGAGCAAGAAAAAAAAAAGAAAAAGAGAGAGAAAAAGGACGGAAGAGAAAAAGAGAAAAAAGATGGCGAGAGAGAGAGAGAGAGAGAAATTTATGAAATTTTGATGTCAAAAATTAAATAGTGAATTTTATTTTCGATCATTATCAAATTGAAGTGTCTTATTTGGGGTATTTTAAATTTCTTATCTATTGAAGTTATTAATAATTTTGAGGAACGGAGTAGTATATAGTATGTTCCTATCTTTTAAATCTCTTTGCAAAGAGTGTCATTTTATTATCTGAAATTTGTATTCTCATTGATCTGATTGATACGAAATTTTGTCAATTTTATCGGTTGACTTGTATTTTTGGCTAAATACTTTGGAATTGATTGGTACTTGTATGAAGTGTATTTTAGGCATAATTGGTGAAATGTGATTATGGTCATGTGGGATGTGATTGTGATTACAGTCATGTGGAGTGTAATGGTTCAATATGAGTATGGATTTTAAATGTCTAAGTGTCACTTGTCATGTTACCAAGAGAACTCATGTATGAGTCTATGTTTGATAGAAATTGAGCTCTGTGACTTATCGAACTGAATTCTTAATTCTTTTATCTATAATTGTCTATTGATTAAATTATTTGATCATTCGTACTTTTTCTCGTTGAGCATATAGTTTATGTCATATTGTATACTTTCCCGCTTTTAATATTTTTTAGGATTATCTCGGAAAAAAGGACCAAAGTTAATATTTAAGGAATCAAAAACGGACGAATCTTGATATAATTTTTAATTTTGTGGATTTATTGTGGTGATATATAACTCCTGAGGGAATGATCAGAGTGGAGATATGAGAAAGTTTCAAATTTATAAATTATGGATTTATTGGAGTGATATATAATTTGAACATATTCGTTTTTTATATTGAGGAGATTATTTTTATTGGTATTTGAAAATCAAAATTGTGATTATAAATTTATTGATGCAATTATAACTCTGACCTTACATTCAGAGATTTATTTGTGGTTTATTATTGATCGATTAATTTAATGTATCCCGGAAATTGGGTGTTACAGAGATAGTGGGTGGTGGTAATGGTGGTGGCAATGACACTGGTGGTGGCGATGTCATAATAGTGGTGGTGGTAATAGCGACGCCACAATGCTGGTGGTAATAGCGGCGACACAATGGTGATAACTGTTGTGGTGGAGGTGGTAGCAGTAATGGTGGCGGTTGTGACAATGACACAGTGGTGGCGATAACACGATGGTGGTGAGGGTATATTTTTCAATTATGAAAAATTGATAAAATCTTTGATGATTAATATTTTCAGAATTAAGTAATAAGTATGTGGCTTGCTACTTAAAATTTTATCATATTTTTAGGAAGTGTTTAAAATATTAAATAATATGAGTTTTAGGTTATCAAACGAGTTTAATTTATTAAGTACTTAAAGTATTGAGTTTTAAGCCTTAAATGATGTTATCAAACATCCTCTTAGACCCCTACTGTAAATGTATTAATTAATAAATTATACTTAGAGTCTCTTAAAGTTTATAGATATAAAATACTTAAACCATTTAAATTTAAAATATTATATTTAGACCAAAAATATTCCAATTAAAGATAGAATATCAAATATTTTAAATTTTACAACCAAAATTTATGTTCTATTATATCATTTATTGAAATAAAATTAAAATTAAAAATTTAATTTTCTTAAAAACTCATAATTAGTATATAATTATACTATCTATTGGAATAAAACTAAAAAATAAACAAAGGGTCTAAATCATTCATAATAGAACATGAATTTTATATCCAAAATTTATGTTATATTATGTCATTTATTGAAATAAAATCAAAAATAAAAATTTAATTTAAAAAAAAAAACATAATTAGTATATAATTATACTATCTATTAGAATAAAACTAAAAAAATTAAACAAGCGGTTAAACTTTAATGGATATAATATCTTTTAGCTTTAATTGGGATAATTTGGTTTTTTAATTTGTACAACCAAATTAAATTCTAATACACAATATAACTGTATATTAATTACAATTTTTTAAGAAAAATTTGAATTTTTATTTTTGATTTTATTTCAATAAATGATATAGTAGAACATGAATTTTAATTGTAAAATTTAAAATATTTGATATTTTATCTTTGATTAAAGTATTTTTGGTCTAAGTATAACATTTTAAACTTAAAAAATCTAATGTTCCGTTTGGTAGAAAGGATGAAAAGTAGGAGGGATACACTTTCTATTCTTGAAGGATGGAAAGTAAGAATGATACACTTTTTTTCATTTGTGTTTGGTTGGATAGATGATACACTTTTTTTCATTTTTTTTAATTTAAATTTATTTTTTTAATTTTTTTTAAAAAATATACATATAAATACGTATTTTATCATTGTATTTTTATATGAAATTAATATACACATAATATATAGACAAATAAGATACATATCAACACAAATAATTAACTTTCCATCTACTTTCCTTCCTATTTTAGAGTGATTGATTTTGATAAGTTGGAAGGAAAGTTAATCTATCAACTTTTCTGTCCTTCTTATTTTCTTTCTTATCAAACATAATGTTTTATTTATCCCTATAATTTTTTATCTTTCTATTTTTTCATCATACCAAACGGAGCAAAAGTAATATATGTTTACAAACATCAAGAGGTATGAGTATAATTTATTAACGGATATATTTACAGCAGGGGTCTAACTGTTATACATATATAAACTTGAGAAAGTTTGTGTGTAATATTTCAAATATTAAAGAATTTGAATAATTAAGTGATAAATTTTAGGAGGTATAAGTATAATTCTCGCT